GAGACCTTGTGCAGAGAGCTTGTTTTAATTTCCAGTGTCACACACATTTCCCATCGCGGGCCACAGTAACGTGGATAGAGATTTACGAGACATTCTGCTCTCCTTGCACAGGGACCCCGTAAACCTTTCAGTACTCTGAGGCACCTGGAACTGGGCAACTTCGTAGTAGCCAACGGGTGAAAAGATTGCCATCCCGAAGAGGCCGCGCAGAGAAAGGGTGACCGAACCATAGAAGCAGACAGTACATCCCTGCGAAGGCCATGAAGTGGAACACTTAAATGCACACTCGGCCTGGGGCGCATCAGTGGTTTCACTGGAGTGAAGGTGGGTGAGCAGCAATGGGATATCGAGTCCTGATGTGCCATTTGTCCCCCAGAGGAGCAACACGGACAGGATGAAGTCATGTGGAATTGGTGCAGTTTATGTGACGATTTTGCTGTCTAGAGAACTGTGACAGGAGCTGGGATATGCAGTGGGCAGAGCTGAGAGTAAGGAACCTGCCAGGTCCTTTGGGTAACCCTGCACGACCGGAACTGGACCTATACCCCGCGGAAACTCCCACCGATGTGAATTAACATCATATCCAGGCAAACTTTAGTGCAATCCCTTTTGAAGTCAATTGTGTATCCTCCTGCATGAGCTAAATTGTTCCCTTGTTTAGTCACAGTTTATTGAAGCTTCTTTTACTGATTAATGTGATTCATTCTCTTTGGGTAACCCTGCACGACCGGAACTGGACCTATACCCCGCGGAAACTCCCACCGATGTGAATTAACATCATATCCAGGCAAACTTTAGTGCAATCCCTTTTGAAGTCAATTGTGTATCCTCCTGCATGAGCTAAATTGTTCCCTTGTTTAGTCACAGTTTATTGAAGCTTCTTTTACTGATTAATGTGATTCATTCTTTTATTTTGGTTTTATGCATTCTTTCATTTACAATGGTATTCACGGAAACTGGAGTTTCACTGTGCAGCCTGCAGCAGTTACAGAAGTGTGCTCTGCGCTGAGTGACTGCGATCAAACGGAATATTGCCATCCATGGGAACTTGTAATTGTTCTGTACAGTTCAAGGCAGGAAACTGAAAATTCAGGAAACTGCCCGTTTTCAGAAAACAAGACCAAGCAAACATGAATCCGTACTCAGTTCCTTGTTGCCGTCTCAAGTCTCTTTCACTGCGAACACTATGTGAGCAAATAAACCTTTCTCGTATGTTGTACATGTACTATGTCTTCATACGCTTCACAGGTTACAGGCTGTGCCTTCACATTCATTTGGATTTTGCTCTGTTTCGAGCTACTTTCACTGACAAGGCTGTCAAGGCTCCATGGTTTGGGTCACTCGTGGGCCAACAAATACCTGGTGTGTGCTCATCAGGTTATTCGGGTGCTGGGCAGCAAATCGTAATTTGGTAACATAGAGGAGTATTATTCTGAGCCCTCACAGCAGAAAAGCATCCAGGGAAATAAAAGATACAAGAAGATGTTATCAACTGTGAGCAACTCACTCATTTGAGACAATCTTTCATTCTTAAGGAAGAAGCCTGATAACATAAATCTGTGTTTAAACACCAAAAAACAGCTATTTCCATTCTAAAATACCTTTCTGCTTCTCACCCATCCCGCAGCAAAGCTAACTCTTGTTGTGCTCCATGGCAGGAAAACATTAATGGGTTTTAAATGCTATTAGCATGATAACACTCTTTAATTTGCTTCCTTCACATTTTAGACAACTATGATTGTTCCATCAGCAGAGCAGATTTCACGGAAATAAAGAGGGGCGAAGAAAAATGGTGCATCTTTCATCGTGTGCTTTGTGGCACTGCTGATGTCAGACACAGCCAGGATGTATGCACAGAACAAACTCTGGTTTGAGCATATCACCAGCGTAATAACAGGGCACAATCACTGAGGAATACTCTGCAAATGTCGAAGATGCTGAATAGACTAATCTCCAGCACTTCCAAGCTGCAGCCAGGGCAGGTGTTCTGCAAACAACCTGGAAATCAGCTCTGCAGCAACAGCTCCCTGAAGAACCAAAGACATTTTTCAGAGAAGAACTCCACAACTTCACAGAGCTGAATAATAAACATTTATTTAATAAGGCACAGAGTAAGTCGATACTGTTTGTGCTGCTGGAGCTTAAGCAAAGTGATTTCTCACTGCACATTCAGTGTGTGTGCCAGTGTGCTGTGCCAGGCATCACAGTCTGGGGCTATGGCTCTGCGGTGGCTGTGCTTGCACTGGGGCAGGTGGACAGGGCAAGTCTGGATTTCAGCAATGCCAGGGGAAAAGAAGAAATCTTACTACACATCCACTGCTTCCAAAAATGAAATTATTTTCTCTTAGCTGTGATGATACACTTCCAGGAACTCTGCACTGAGGATACCTACATTATCCTGACATGCAATTTGTTATACTCAATTTTATTTCTACTCAATTTGACACAAAATAAGTAATTTTGTAATACAGTTGGACATGAAAACTGCTTAGTAGGACACAAAAGAAGTAATATTACTTGGAAAAGTTCAGCAGTTGTCTGCTGAGCATGAGCTGTTACAACAGAAAAGGTGCCATTGTTGTGTAATAGTGTATTTTTGTCGAGGTAAGGTATTACAGAAGAAACAAATCTCCAGAGGAAAAAAGCATCATGCTGTTCCTTATCAAGGCTACAAAAACAAAGCCATCAAGGAAAACAAATGCTGCTTTGTTGAAGGTACAACACTGACATTTGAAGAGCAGAAATATAGAGAATTTCGTAAAAGACAGTTATCAGCTAAGTTTTTAAATGAAAAAATCAATTTTGCGTTTAACACTATTTGGGTGTTACATGAATAATACAAACTGGATAGGAGCTGTGTTACCCTTACTGGCAATATCACTGGAGTGCACTGCTGTGCTATTCATGCTGTAATTTACATAAAACCTTTTTGTTAGGTTCGGTTTATAGCTAGGAACACAAAAGGCAGAATGGTCAGCAGCCTGTGTCCTAGAAACATACACAGTCCCTAAAACCCGGTCCTCTAAAAACCAGGCCACCAGGGTTTCTGTCCCTGCCCCAGAAAGGAGCAGGTTTCAAACTCGGGGAAAGAGCCGAGTCCCCACTGCTCAGCTCCTGGCCGGAATGAAAGCTCCTTTCTTGCCTGCTTTTGTCAGCCACATCCAGCCAACGTTCTTGAGGCCTCAGTCTGACTAAACTGTTACAACTCTCCACCTGTTCTGACCCAGATGCTGTGTCCTCAAAAGTACTGATAAAAACAGTTTGTATGGTAGAGAAAAGAGGCACTGACAGATGAAAAATAATCAAGCAAAACCCCCCAAAACAAACAAGAGGGAGAAAGGGGGTTCAGATGCAGCACCACTCAAGAAAAACCAACGTGGCTTGTCAAGGAGAGCCTTAGTACATGGCAGTCAGTGCCTCCCAAACCAGGGAAAGGCTAACTGAATGCAGTGACCGTTTAAGAGAGCAAATATGCCATTTCATAATTAACCAACAGCCAACAGCTTCACTCATTAGTTGAGTTTATTTAGACAAGACAAAAGCTTGCACAGCTTTGTAACCCCATACAGCAATGAAACCATCTGAAATATATTAGCTTTTCCTCTGTATTTCTCACGTTGTCCTCGAGGAGG